AAGTTCGGGCTCGGTCAATTTTGGGTCAGGTTCGGGCTCGGTACCGAGCGTTCGGGCTCGGTCAGGTTAGGTCACCGAGCCCAAGCACCATGCTACGCAGGTTGTAAGAAAAAGCAAAGATAGGGCCTAGCTGCACTACTCCTGAAAGGTGTAAAACGAGAGCGAATCTTCCGATATAACATGGAAAGATACAGCCACACGATTTTTGTCTTTTGTGCATTTCAAGAGTAGTGCAGCGAGGCCCATAGTCTCAATTGCCTTTTTTATTAAAAACGGACCGATAGATGACTTGGACGACATGCATCTCCGTTGGACGACATGCATCTCCGTTGTCGCGCACAGTCACACATCGTCGAAAACCCAACGTTGACCGCCTGTGGCGCAGCGGAGCTACCGGTAGTGGGACAAGGTCCGGGCTCGGCTACAGAATTCGGGCACTATCTGAAACGTCTCATTTCAGTTTTTTTTTTGTTTTTTTTTTTTCCCCTTCTATTTTAAGTGGAAACAAACATCGGTGGCTCCCGAACATGTGCTCGAACACGTGATCATTTCAGATTATTTGCTTCTCTTTTTTTGGTTCTTTCTTCCTCTTCTCTTCCAAGTCTACCATCTCCGGACACGGAGGTCTCATATCATTCGCTGTAGATTCGACACGTGGCAAGAGATGGCATATCCAGTGGCTTTCGATTTGACACGTGGCACGTGGCAAGAGATATCATAAAGCTCACCTCGAATGACAGTCGTGGCAAAAGATCTGACATCGTCGACGTTGGATTCGACACATGGCAAGAGATAAATCATCGGCTATGGAATTGACATGTGACAAGAGATCTGGTATCATTGGCTCTGAATTTGACATTTGACACGTGGCAAGAGATCATTGGCTCGGGATTTGACACGTGGCAAGAGATCTCATAAAGCTCACGTCGAATGGCCGGCGTGGCAAAAGATCTGACGTCCTTGACATTGGATTTGACACACGGCAAGAGATAACAATCGACACGTGGCAAGACATCTGGTATAATTGTCTCTGGATTTGACACGTGGCAAGAGATCGCATGCCATAATTGCCATCATTGCCTTCGGAGTTGCCACGCGGCAATGAAGACATACAAGCACACATGTAATGCCAACCTAAAGCCCACTGGCAGGCGCAAATTGGAGAAAGAAAAACACAGAATCCCCTCCCCTCCCCTCCCCTCTCCCCTCCCCTCCCACCCGGCCCGTACATGCATCGGTACGTCTTCCAAATTCCAATCTTTTCCCTCCTCCTGGCTACGTATTGCTTCTCTACCTCCTGCTGCTGACGTACTCTTCCTCTTCCTGTTCCTCCTCTTCCTCCCCGCTTAAGTATTCCTAACGCCCTTTCTCCAACGACGAACACTGATAATGAATGGAAGCTATGTTCCCGGTCCCGATGCGGCGAGGGAAGATTCAATCCCGTCATACGGACACACACACACATACACACACACACACACACACACACACACACACACAGAGAGAGAGAGAGAGAGAGAGAGAGAGAGAGAGAGAGAGAGAGAGA